GGGTTAAATAGAGCTATCTTGTCATCTTAGACATTTCTAAGAACGCAGTGGTTTTCATCTGAAGTTAGAACCACAACTAAGACAGTACATTCTCATGCAAAGATTCTGTTTCTCCAAGGAATAATCCAGGGTTTTAAATGCATTCCATACACATGTGAGTGAGTTTCTAGCTTCTTCCTAAGGCTTTTCAGCCTCCAGATCCCTCCTACCCTTACCACAATATATTAGCTAAGGAAAGGTCCATGTTACAAAATGATTTATTTGCAAAGCTAATATACACATAGCTGAAAATAACCTGTGCGATGGTAGCATAAGCAAGTCATATTTTTATTAGCAGAAACACAGGAAGAATGTTTCACAGGAAGCAGGTTTCTGTTATCAATGTTTCTTACCCCCCCTCCCCCACTGAGACAAGTAAAAAACAGAGACTAGGACGTTTAAGGACACTGGGATAGATTGGGCCAACATCTGGGTTCCTCACATGCTCAAACAGAACAAACAGAGCTTCCTACAATGCACCTCTGCACATCTAAGGCTTTGAGGAATACAGAGGGTAGGTTGGTGCACATGCAGGATGGACATCTTCCTTTCTTTCACTCTCAGCCCCTTGGAACCAGGCCTTCCTTCAAAGGCCACCCCAGTCACCACAACGGAAGTTCTGAAAACCTCAGAATGTCCCAGCATCACCTTTTCCCACAGTATTGCAGAAGTAAGAACCCTTCTCTTCCATCTTCTCTGTTTTTACTAGAATGTGGGCAGCTTCTGAGAGTCACAGTAGTGAAGTCATTCCATGTTTAATATTACAGCTCCCTTTTCACAGGACTCAGAAGAGACAAAAGACAAGAAAAAAAAACTCTCTTTGTTAACTAGGCTGAGCTTTACAGGTCATTTTTTTTAACCTCTCAGATAAACTCTCTCCTGGAGGATCTGTGTCAAGTATAGCCCATCAAGGCACCAGCCCCTGACTTAGCTGCCATTCAGAGCTAGGTACAGCTCAGGCCAGGTAGAGATGAGATTCCCCAGCCTTTCCTTTCCTGACCATGTCTGCTTCCCAGCATAAAACCTATGCAGAAATAAAACAAAAGCCAAAATCACCTACAACCCCCCAATAGGAGCAAACTAGGGTCTGAGTGCTAAATTCTTGGACTGAGTAGATGTAACCGCTCTCAGAAAAGAATATGGCACCGGTGGCTCACACCTGTAATCCTAGCTACTCAGGAAACTGAGATCTGAGGATTGCAGTTCAAAGCCAGCCCAGGCAAGAAAAACTGTGAAACTCTTATTTCTAATAAACCTGAAGTGACCCTGTGGCTCAAGTGGTAGAGCGCTAGCCTTGAGCTGAAGAGCTGAGGGACAGTGCTTAGGCCCAGAGTTCAAACCCCACAACCAAAAAAAAAAAAAAAGGATATGGAATATATTAATTTAAATGGAATATTTTTTTTTTTAAAAAAGCAAAATGTAGTGGTGAATGCCTGTAATCCCAGCACCCTGGAGGCTGAAGCAAGAGGATCACAAGTTTGAGGCCAGTGTGACCCTATTAACAATACCCTGACTGAAGTTTTATGTTTTAAAAGGGAAGGGGATATTTATGAGAGATGAAGGAAGCCTAAAAATGTAGATATAAGATAGAGAAAATACCATACTCCCTGCACTGCATGTAACACAGCACAGTCACCAAAGAGCAGAAAGATGGTTCAAATCCTTTCTCCCCGGGACAGGTTCATCAGACAACCATGTGCTGGTTTTTAAGTATGGATTTCCCACTTGGAGTGACTTGGAGCAGCCAACTCCTGGCCCCCAAAGGGCCTCTCAGTCACCAGACTCCTACCAAGGGAGACTGCACCCTAGGGCTAACCAGAGAGGATGGAAATCAGTATCAATGAGCCTTCTGTCAATGAGCCTTCGTGTCTTAGATGTTAAGTCTGCCTTCTACAATCAAAGCTAAATTCTTTTGGGAGTTGTTGTTGTTGTTTGTTTGTTTTGAGAAAGAGTCTCACTATATAGCTCAGGCTGGCCTTGAACTCACCATCCTCTTGACTCTGCCTCCCAAACACTGAGCTTAAGATATGCTTGTCATGTCTGGTTCCGAAGCACAATTCTGAGAGACCACGTTCTATTTATTATGGCCATGTGTGTCACCCCACCTGTCTCCACTGTGAACAGAGCGGAATTTCCCTCTGATGTCTGAAGTCAGAGATGATCACTAAATCACACTAAGACCTCAAAAAGTTATTTTTTGGATGAAGTGATTCTCCTTGTACAAATAAGTTATATACTCTGATACTAAATTCTTTATCATCACCTTATCTGTTGAGGAAGATCTGTGTGATATTGACCGATCACTTTAAGTCTGGACACAGGAAATAAGAAGAATGACTTTCAAAGGATGGCTTGATGTTGCCACAAATCTCAGAAGACCCAGCGGCAGAATCCCCACTTCCTGCCCAGTCCAGAAAATGGCCTCCATTGTCTCAAGTAGGATATGAGTGGTGGGGAGGGAGGAAGGGGAGGAAACTAAGTCTCCTCCCCTTGAATGGGAGGATGTAGATATGTGACTACTTTGGTCAGTAGCATCCAGTAGATGAAGTGCTGGTGGATGGTGGTAATGCTGCTTCTACCTTATTTACTGAAAGGTTCATGTTTGGAGTCCTGAGCCACTCTTCAACTTCATCTACACGAAGACCACCACATTAGGAGGAAGCCAAACCCCTGGGAGAAGCCACATGCAGGTACTCTGATCAGGATACTTGGTGTTCTAATGATCCTCCAAGCCCAAGGACCAGTTATGCAAATAAATCAGTAAGCCTTACCAATCCAGTCATTCTCAGATTCTGATTCCTTCCCACCGAGACCCCAACCATCACGGGGCAGGATCAAGTCCCCATTGGGCCTGCCCAACTCCCTGACAACACAACCCATAGGCATATTAAAGATTATTTCAAATCACTAAGTTGTGGGATAGCTGCTGCATAGTAATAACCATGAGCCATCTATGAGGAAAGAAGACTCTAAAAGCATTATCACTTAAGTGCTGGAAATGTGGCTTAGTGGTAGAGTCTTGACTAGCATGCATGAAGCCCTGGGTTCGATTCCTCAGTACCACATACACAGAAAAAGCCAGAGGTGGCGCTGTGGCTCAAGTGGTAGAGTACTGGCCTTGAGTACAGAAGGCTCGGGGACAGTGCCCACGCCCTGAGTTCAAGCCCCAAGACTGGCAAAAAAAAAAAAAAAAAAAGCACTATCTTTTTATCATTTAAAAGACTGGATGTCACACAGGCATGGGCATTGAGGCCTAACGCTCATTTCTAAGTGGCCACCATTGTGTTTTCCCTGTGATGGAGTTCTCTCCATCCCGAACCTCCCGCTCGTTCCTCTTCCTACAGACTTGTGCAGCACCGCCTATATTCACATAAACATCACACACATTCCTGCCTACACAGACTTCCCTATCAATGGTCTCATTCTCCTGGCTCCTCCCCTCCTCAGCATTTCAGTAATAAGTCCTGACATTCAAATGTCTAAACCAAATAGCATCAACTTTATTTATCTACTTAATTTAATTAATTATGTATATACTGGGGTTTGAATTCAGGGCCTGTTGCTCTTCTTTGGCTTTTTTCTCAAGGTTGGTGCTCTACCACTTGAGCCACACCTCTACTTCTGCCTATTTGCTGGTAATTGGAAGGAGATAAGAGCCCCTTGGATTTGTCTCTGGCTAACTTCAAACCATGATCCTCAGTTCTCAGCCTCCTCAGTGGGCAAAGAGTACAGGCCTAAGCTACCAGTCCCCAGGTATGTGAATGTTTATAAACCTCTTTTCTTACATTCTTTTGAAAGCCAGTCGCCCACAATGATGGGACTAGAATGCCCCCACTTACCCCCAAGACATACCCCTTTCAATAATGCTCTAAAGTGCCCCAATGTGGGCAACAATTTAATGTTTTAACTCCTATCCCTTCATCCCCTGCTCTCCTTCAAATGAGATAATTCTCTAACTAACTTCTCTTCAGGAATCTAGAGGAAGCCAACACCCTTCTAGGCCCTACTCAGCTTCCGGTCGGCTAGGGTATGAGATGCTTGGCCATTCCCTACCTGCCACCATGGACTGATACCTCTGAAGCCACTGAAGAATTTTATAATGGCCTTCCTGCCTGGTCACCAACCCCGTCTATAAACTTAATGGCTTAAGATGGCCTGTGCTGAGAAAATGGAATGCAATTCCAAATTATTTAAAGAGGTAAAAGGCCTTTGTATGGATTTATAAGTCAGTCTATCTGTTCTCATGGGGGGAAAGGGGAGAGAAAGCTTCTGTTAGACACTGCCCCCACCTTCCCCCACTTCTATTGAATCCAAATAGTTTTTAACCAGACACAAAATAAAACAAACGAGAACACATCATTCTCTTTCATAATAAACTGCCTTAGATCTCTCAGGCATGTTAAGTATAATGCATCTTTTTTTTTTCCCCTCCTGGTAAAGAACATAAGCTAAACCATCTCTTTGGCATATCATAAAAGACAGAAAAGTAAGGTAGTGGTGAATGCCCTTTCTAGGCCTCCAGTTTTCAGGATTGATGTAAAAATTCACACATACAGATCATTTTAGGTCAGCGAAACCCCCTTTAGAAAATTCTGGTTACCAAAATTCCAGAGATTGCGTTCTCATGCCGCATGCGCCTTACTCCCCCTCCCCTCCCCCCCCCCCCCCCCCCCAGTTCTGTATTATGCAATGGTGAGCTGAGGTTCTGGACCCAATTTCCCAGTAAGGCTGCTTTGTATATTCCTTGAGCGACGTCAGGGAGCGGTGACACGGTCGCCGGGGCGGTGACAACGGACACTAATATTTAAACGAATCTCAACTCGTCCTTGCTGTGACTCATTCTCGCCCGGCTGGGGAGCCCGGTTCCCTTTAAGGTAAACCGGGGCCCGCCGCCCGCCCTCCGCGGTGCGCGCGGCCATTGGTCCCCGCCACCCTCCGCCCGCGTGCGCCGCCGCCTCCCTCCGCGCCCCGCTCCTGCTCCCCGCGCGTCGCCGGCGCCGCGCCAGTCGCCGACAGCACATCCTTGCGAGCGTGTCTCCTCCCCTCCGGGACTGGTAAGCACCCTGGCGGAGGGCTGGGGAAGGGTCCCCGAAAGTGGGCTCGGAGTGAGGACTCCCGATGAGGGCGGAGGCGTCCTGACGCCCGGCCCGGCGGGGCGCAGCGGGACGGAGGGGGGGACCTGGTCGGTGGGGGACGCCCGCGGCTTCCCACGGGCACGTCTCGGGCCTGCCCGGTGCGCCCGTCCTCAGGGCGCGCGGCTTTGGGGGCTCAGAGCCCCCTGTGATGCAGGTGGGCGATGAAGCCTTAGTGGATCCGAGGAGTCTGGTCGCCCCTCCACCCACCCCGCGGGGAGGCTGCCTGGGCGAGTCGCGGGGCCCGGCGTGCCACAGATGCGGGGCCGTGGGGACGATCATCGCGGCCGGGGCTCCCTAGGAAGCCCGAAAATGACTCGGCTGGGGCGCTTGGCGAGTAGAGCCCCGGAGGAGCCCCGGGAAGCCGCGGAGCTCCCGGCCGCCCGCCCGCCCCGCCTGTTGGCCACCATGGACCAAGCCGGGTCGCTTTCCGAGGCCTCCAGGGTACGCCAGGGAATGAGGAGGAGCGCGCGCCTGAGCCTCCGGGGGACGGGGAGTCGGGGAATACGGCTTGCGTCCCCCGAGCCTGGACGGCACCGCGGGAGGCCGCAGCCCCGCCCTTGTAGCAACCTCACCGGGGTGGTGGCCAGTGCGGGGGCGGGGCCTCGGGTCTGTTTGGGCGTGGTCTCGGAAGGCCCCGCCCTCCATGCGCCTGCGCGCGGCTGGAGTAGTCTTGGCTTGGTGGCTGGGTTGATCGCGTAGCTCCAGGGGTCCACGGATCGAACTTTCCCTCCAGTTTCAGGAGAAATCGGGGACCCACAGCTGCTCTTTTCACGTTGTCTTCTGACCCTCTGGAGGGACAGCATCCTGATGCCCTAGGGGCTGCAAAGGAGGGGAACACGTGTAGGCGTAGGCCTGCAGATAATCCGCTCTACCTGAGCTTCCCGTACCATCTTTCAGTTTCATAGATAATCCAGGCTGGGGTGGATGTCATTCTGTTTACTGTCCTTTGATTTTCCTGTTTTCTCCTAACTGGATCGAATATAATTTGACCGCGTGATTGCATCTGTGTCACATCCATCTTTGACATCGCAATGGCTCCTTTGTATTTTTCAGTTATACTTCACATGTCACGGCCTAATAAGCAGTGGTCCGTGTGCTGAATGTTTGAAGTGTTTCTAAAAACAAAACAAAAAAGCAAACACACACACACACACACAGACAAAAAACCCTGCAGGTAAAATAGACACTTCTGGTGTACCAGTACTGGAGCTTGAACTCAGGGTCTAAGCTCTGTCCCCTAGCTTTTTCATCAAAGGCTGGTACTTTACACTTGCGCCATACCTCCATTTCTGTCTTTTTAAATGGGTAATGAGAGAGAGTCTCACAGACTTTGCAGCCCATGGCTGGCCTTTTCGCATGTCTGATTATCCGAAAAATAGGAACAGAAAATTGAATTAAGATGTCAAGTATCTGGAAAAATGAATGAATCTCTCCAGATATTTAAAAGAAAGAAAAATCACCAAAGGAAAGGAACTATTGTGCCTATCTATACTCACTGTAAAGCTCTTGGAAGGGAAAGGAAACAGAAAGCCAGGGTGGGTTTTGGGTATTAGGTGTATTGATGCAAGCTTCCCGTGTGAAAAGAAAATAATCAAGATTACAAGAGCTAAATAGTGAAATGATGAGTCACTTTCAGAATAAAATGCAAATTAAAGCAAATCTGGGTTTGGGCTCTTCCGTCTATTAAATTAGCACAAACAGTAACAGCAACCCCTACTGGAAGGTTGCCTGAACTTGGCTTATTCAGGTGTCCAGGCAGCTGGCAACCCGCTGGGATTAAAAAATAAAATGGTTCATCAACCAACTTTGGGACTTTGGAAAGGTTATCAAATTTCCTGATCCTCTTTTTGTCCACTCATAAAATGTAGAAGATGCCTACTTCTGGGGCTGTGGCAAAGACTGACTTGAACCATCAATGTGAAACTGTTGGTATGCAAGCTTTCTTCTGTTTCTGTCCCTGTTGGGGACAATGTAAATCCTTACAAAATTTTTATAGAACAGTCTGAACATATATTATTATTTGGTAGCTGTGACCTAAAAAACACCACTTCTGGAAATTTACCTGCAACGGAAGAAACAAGGTTTAAAATAAAGTAAAATATATAAATAAGTCATACGCCAAGCAGAATGGCCTAAAATTAGAACCAACTGAGCATCAGCTACACAGCTTAGGAAATAATGACACACATTAACTGGAGGGAACCTTATGTAAGGGTCAACTCATGATTTTGGAGCCCATCATCTCTGGGGCAAACTAATGAGTCAAAGTACAGGTTACTAAGCCACATACTCCAGCATGAATGTATTGTGAAAATCTCAAATGGGAAGTCCTTTGCAGAAATCATATGCAATGTGAATTTTCTTTTTGTTGATATATATTTTTACTAAATTATGTTATTTGTAAAATAGTTCATGGGTTTCTTTGTTGTTTGGCTATTGAAGTTGAAACCCAAGTTCCAACTTTAAAATGAAATAGACCTTCAGTTTCTGTATATTAGAGAAAGAGGGAGAGGTTGTTACCATGTTCACTTCATAGAATAAAACATTTTTAGCTGGCCTTGTTTCCTTTTTCAAGTAACATTTCATTATTTTTCCTCAGTAGATTTATCAGTGGTTTAGTAATTTGTGTATTTGGGTTTTTTTTTTTTCTTTAAATCAATTCTAAGCCAGGTGCTGGTAGTTCATGCCTGTCATCCTAGCTACTCAGGAAGCTAAGATCTGAAGATGAAAGTTCAAAGTCAGCCCAGGCAGGAAAGTCAGTGAAGCTCTTCAGTTAACCACCAAGAAGCCCGAAGTATAACTTAAGTACTAGAGTGCCAGTCTTGAGTGAAAAACTAAGAGATAGCATCTAGACCCTAAGTTTAAGCCCTAGTATGAACATCAAAAGAAAAGAAAAAAGTTTCATTTATAAATTCTAGTTTTTCTTTTTTGTTTTTCTGAAGGACTCCTGAAAATATTTCAAAACTGAACAATTTCAGCCAAATCGAAGCATTCTGTCTTCACAGAGGTACCTGTGCCATTTAGAGGAGCCCCAGCAGGTTGTAAGTACCCTGTGGAATTTCTTTGGTTTTGTGATGATTGAGAGACACCAATATTCATAGGAAATGGATGTCAGGAATGACTAATCACCAGCCCCAGCTCCAAAGACCTTTTGGCATTATGAAATTCATGCCTAATTGTATTGGTGTGTGTGTGTATGGGCGCGCGCTGATCCTAGAGCTTGAACTCAGGGCCTGGGCACTGTCCTGAGCTTTTTTCCTCAAGGCTAACCCTCTACCACTTCCAGCTTTTGTGTGATTATTTGGAGATAAAGAGTCTCAAGTACTTTCCTGCCTGGGCTGGCTTTGAACCTCGATCCTCAGATCTCAGCCTCCTGAGCAGCTAGAATTACAGCTACTGGTGGCATGAGCCACCAGCGCCCATCCCTATTTCACTTTTGTTTCTTCAGAAGTCAGCTTGATTTCTGATAGCAAAGGACCACAGCTTTCTATATAAAATTATACTGAGCTGTGTAAGGACTTGAGTATTTTTTTAAGTAATGTAATGAAGTAATAACAGTATAGCCTAAACATCCTTATAGCAAATTGACAGTGCACATGACTGTCACCAGCTGACAAAGCCCAGGAAACATTTTGCTGCACTGAAGTTTTAGTTTACCTGTTCCCTTCTCCCTTACCAGATCCTGTTTCTTCTTCAGCTGAGAATGGCTGCATATTAAATATTCATAACACATTTGTATCTATGGAAGATAGCGACAGTGTTATAAAGTTATCCTTTATCCAACACAACTGGAAAATTTTTTTATCTCAATTCCTTAGACAGCCCTTTTGTCCTGTGTTTTACTTATTGCTGTTATATTGATTGCTTCCTGGAAAAAGGGTGTGTCTTCTTTATGAAAGCATTACAAATGTTTTTCCTGGAAAGCTTTTTTTTTTTTTTTTTTTGGTCCAGTCATAGGGTCTGAACTCGAGGCCTGGGCGCTGTCCCTCAGCTCTTCAGCTCAAGGCTAGCGCTCTACCACTTGAGCCACAGCACCACTTCCAGCTTTTTTCTCTTTGCTTATGTGGTGCTGAGGAATCGAACCCAGGGCCTCATGCATGCAAGGCAAGTGCTCTACCACTGAGCCACCTTCCCACCCCCTGGAAAGCTTTTATAGCCTCTGAAATCCCACCAATAAACACTCAGGTTGGCCTGGAGTGTATTCTAGGGAGGTTGGTTGTTTGTTTTAAAAAAAAGGTCCTCGGATAATTCAGATGATGCATCAGGGACTTTTGTCTGGGATGGGTTCAGAATGCTCATATTAAAAACAAAAAAAAGCTGGGCACCAATGACTCAAGCCTGTAATCCTAGCTACTCAGGAGGCTGAGATCTGAGGAGCATGGTTCAAAGCCAGCCCAGGCAGAAAAGTCCTGAGTGAGACTCTTTTTTTTTTTTTTTGGTCAGTCGTGAGGCTTGAATTCTGGGCCTGGGCGCTGTCCCTCAGCTCTCCAGCTCAAGGCGAGTGCTCTACCACTTGAGCTACAGCGCCACTTCCGGTTTTCTGGTGGTTATTGGAGATAGGAGTCTCACAGTCTTTCCTGCCCGGGCTGGCTTTGAACCGTGATCCTCAGATCTCAGCCTCCTGAGTAGCTAGGATTACAGGCGTGAGCCACCAATGCCCGGCTCTGAGTGAGACTCTTATCTCAAATTAACCACTCAAAAAACCAGAAGTGGTGCTGTTATTCTACATGGTAAAGTACTAGCCTTGAGCCCCATGACCAACAAAAAAAAAAGAACTCCATAAAAATTTTTTCCCAAAAATTTTGTATCACATTCTTCAAGGTGTGTGTGTGTGTGTGTGTCTGTCTGTCTATCTGTCTGTCTGTCTGTCTGTCTCTCTGTCTGTGCGCTCACGAGCGCATGCACATCTCATCATTACCACTCTCAATTTAACCAATTAAACTTCAAGTATCTTGTTGTAGCTTTGTATTCTAATACCTGGCAGGCCAAGTGCATCCTGAATTTTCTTGCCACTCAAATATTTCTCCAGTCCTCACTTTTTGGGGGTTTTGTTTTTGTTTTTGCTTTCAGTACAAGTGATCAGCCCCAGGGCCTGGTGTAATCCTGTACAAGTGCTCTCTTTGGGCTATACTTTCAGCCTCTTTCTTTTGACTATCATTGCACCATATTCTTCAAAATCTTTCTTGGATTCTGATGAAATTGTGTAGATTTCATGGATTACCTGGAGGTGAATTGGTATCTTTCTCTATTGGTTTGCCCAGCCATGAATAAATGTCTTTCTCTTTCATATCTCAGCAAAATTTTAACAGCTTTCCTCATCTGAGTCCTACTATTTATTTTGAGGTTAAATTTGAGGTATTTTCAGTTTCTAGTTTATGAATATTCCCCCTCTCTCCCCCCCCCACCCCCCACCCCCTCCTAAGTCTAAATAACTACAGGTGATTTAACAATTCAGTTTTTTCACATGTTGATTTCAAAACACTGCATCCTAATTATCTTACTTATTCTAAAAGGCTTGGGGATGATTTTTCTAAACCACTGAGCCACACCCAGTCCCTTTCTGTTTTAGGTGGTGGTAGTATCTTTTTCAATAGAGTATTGCAAATTTGCCCAGGTTGGCCTGGACTTCGTCTTCCTATTTCTACCTTCCACATAGCTGAGATGATAGATGTAAACCACCATACCCATTGTAATATCTGAGATGAGGTCTTGCCAACACCATAATCTTTTTCTCTTTTTTGTTATTGTTGTTGCTGGTGTTAATTGTGGGTGCTGGCCTTGAGCATTTTTGCTCAAATCTAGCACTCTACCATTTTGAGCCATAGCTCCACTTCCTGGAGGTTAATTGGAGCTGAAAGTCTCATGGACTTTCCTGCCCAGGTTGGCTTTGAACCATGATCCTCAGATCTCAGCCTCCTGAGTAGCTAGGATTACAGGCATGAGCCACAGGAATCCAGCAAATTTTTTTTTTTTTTTTTTTTTTTGTCGGTCGTGGGGCTTGAACTCTGGGCCTGGGCGCTGTCCCTGAGCTCTTCAGCTCAAGGCGAGCGCTCTACCACTTGAGCTACAGTGCCACTTCCGGTTTTCTGGTGGTTTATTGGAGATAGGAGTCTCATGGTCTCTCCTGCCCGGGCTGGCTTTGAACCGCGATCCTCAAATCTCAGCCTCCTGAGTAGCTAGGATTACAGGCGTGAGCCACCAGCGCCCGGCTGGAATCCAGCAAATTTTTATCTTTCACACTTACATCTTTGATCCATCTAAAGTCAATTTTTATGTGTGGTGTTAAGGATCCATGTTTATTTTTCTCTGGTTTCTCTGACAGCATCTGTCCTGTCATTTTTATTGATTTATAGTTGCCACTTCATTGTATACCTCATCCTTGTTGAGAATATGCATGTATTTATCTTTGAACTTACTGTTCTGTTTTCTTTAGTCTATTGGTCTAGTTCTGATTTTTCAACCATCCTGTCCTGATGGCACACACTTGTAATCCCAGCTTTTAGGAGGCAGAGACTTTTTTTTTAATCTACCTGGAATTTTAATTGACATTTTGTTGAAATTATCTGCTCATTTCAGGATAATAGATATTATAAGAGTAAGTCATTCCAATTAAAACCATGGAATACCTTTTTTTTTTTTTCAGACTACTTTCTGTGTTCTTTGTTTTAACATTCTATGTTTTCTCCCATGGAAGTTCGTTCTTTTTTTTTTTTTTGCTCAGTCATGGGGCTTGAACTCTGGGCTTGGGCGCTGTCCCTCAGCTCTTCAGCTCAAGGCTAGTACTCTACCACTTGAGCCACAGCGCCACTTCCGGTTTTCTGGTGGTTTATTGGAGATAAGAGTGTCACAGAGGGCTGGGAAGTTGGCTCAGTGGTAGAGTGTTTGCCTTGCATGCCTGAGGCCTTGGGTTTGATTCCTCAGCACCACAAAAGCAAAAAGAAAAAAGCCGGAAGTGGCCCTGTGGCTCAAGTGGTAGAGCGCTAGCTTTGAGCTGAAGAACTGAGGGACAGCGCCCAGGCCCAGAGTTCAGGCCCCACGACCGGACCCAAAAAAAAAAGAGTGTCACAGACTTTCTGCCTAGACTGGCTTTGAGCTTCGATCCTCAAATCTCAGCCTCCTGAGTAGCTAGGATTACGGGCATGAACCACCAACACCTGGCTGGAAGTTTTTCCTTTTTTTTTTTTTTGTCATGAGGCTTGAACTCTGGGCCTGAGCGCTGTTCCTCAGCTCTTCAGCTCAAGGCTAGCGCTCTGCCACTTGAGCCATGGCGCCACTTCCTGGAAGTTTTTTCTTAGTGAAGTCAATTCCTTAGGTACATCACAGTTTGGTGACTATTGTGAATATCTCTTTTCTTCTTATCAGTCATAGCGGGTAGAGAAATTATATTGGTTTCTGTAGGCTTGATCTCACATCCTACAACTTAGCTGAATTCCAGTATCAGTCTTCATATTATCTCTGTTGATTCTGTCATATTTTCTATGCATGTGATCTTGTTCATTGCAGAGGTTAGCATAACATCATCCCTTGTGCCTGCTGCTGCTTTGTTTCTTTTTTTTTTTTGGTCGGTTGTGGAACTTGAACTCTAGGCCTGGGCACTATCCCTGAGCTCTTCAACTCAAGGCTAGTGCTCTACCACTTGAGTCACAGTGCGACTTCTGGCCTTTTCTGTTTATGTGGTGCTGAGGAATCAAACCCAGAGCCTCATGCATGCAAGGCAAGCACTCTACCACTGAGCCTCTTCCCAGCCCCTGCTGCTTTTTTCTGCATATGGCATTGGCAGGACCTTTTACCCTTCTTAGAGTCTTAAATGAGATATAGTCAAAGGTAGTCTGTTGTGTTTACTATTGTTGTGTACACCTTTTCCAAAGTACATTTGTGTGCTAAGAGTTTAAGTGTCTTCTAAGTAAATGGAATATGTTGAATGTTGCCAGAAGACATGGCCACCTCCTGACTGTTCACAGGGAGGATTTTAGGTGAACAGTGTGAGAGACTAGTCTGGGACTCAGAGACCCAATCTCTACTCCCAACAACTTTATCAACCAATCATCTTAGTGGCCTGCTGCGTCAAGTGAGGGCTTCATATTAAATACGTATGACTGATCTTATGTTTATTACAAATACAAAGATTCTCTTGGGCGTCATGTAAGTTTTAAGTTTGTCTTTAGGAATGATTCTCTAAATGAAGTTCTTGTCTTTAATCATTTTCATAATGGTTGCTTTTCCTCTCAACTGTTTCTGTAATGGTCTTGTTTTGATGAGCTCTATGATGCTCCAGCTTCACACAACACTCAGCTGTGGTAAAGCTGAGGCTCTGATCCCTGTTGCCTGCGCTTGGACAGCTCCTAGGCCTGCCAGCGTCTGTGCTTGTTCCCCATATCCAGACTCCTAAAGCTCACTGCTCCTCTTACCTCTCATCCTACATATTGCTTAGCAACAGCATTGCCAGATTCCTTTTCTGGCCCTCTCCAGATCTGCTGTACATTCTGTGTTCTGGCTTCACAGCTGCCTGGTCCGGAAGTCTGGGCACCATATCTACTATGTAACTTCCACACATACACTAGGTTAAGCACAGGTTGTCCTCTGAATTAGGACCTCCATAGAGCTTCAGCTGAGATTGAAGTGTTGGAAAACGTGAGAGGCCAAAAAGAAGCAGTCAAGACCTGAAAAGATTTTCTGATAGAGCAAACAGGATGTGGTGAGGGAAAATTCAAGAATAATGTCAAGGGCTGGGCTGGTGCTGATGGTGGCTCATGCCTGTAATTCTTAGCTACTCAGGAGACAAAGATCTGATCTAAGGATCACAGTTTGAAGCCAGCCTGAGCAAGAAATCCCTTAAGACTCTTTTTTTTTTTTTTTGGTCAGTCGTGGGCTTGAACTCTGGGCTTGGGCGCTGTCCCTCAGCTCTTCAGCTCAAGGCGAGCGCTCTACCACTTGAGCTACAGCGCCACTTCCGGTTTTCTGGTGGTTTATTGGAGATAGGAGTCTCACGGTCTCTCTTGCCTGGGCTGACTTTGAACTGCAATCCTCAGATCTCAGCCTCCTGAGTAGCTAGGATTACAGGCGTGAGCCACCAGCGCCCGGCTTCCCTTAAGACTCTTATCTCCAATAAACTACCAAAAAAAGAAAGCCAGAAATAGAGCTGTAGCTCAAGTGGTAGAGCACCAGCTTTGAGCAAAAGAAGCTTAGAGACAATCCCCAGGCTATGAGTTCAAGCCCCAGGACTGCCCCTCCCTTGCCAAAAAAAAAAAGAATGCCAGTATGTTAGCCTCAATGAGATGCTGACATGAACCTCTTTAGAAGGTGACCTGGTTGGGTTCCCTGGGAGTGTGCTCAGGATGGAGACTGAGAGCTGGGCCCCATGATAAGATGGGAAAAGTTGACTGGGAAAGATCCCCAGAATACTGGGGAGTTGGGGCCTGTGGAGGTGTGGGACCAGAAGTTGGACCAGTCAGCAGGTCCACAGATCTGCTCCTGACCCTCACCCAAAGAAGCCTCCAAAACTCACACATGGTATGATCTGAGTCCTTTAAATTAGGCTTGTGATTTTATATATATATATTTGATTTACTTCTGACTCACAAGACAGCACTTTCTATTTTAATAATTTTGGCAGAAACATAAATAGGACATTAACTCATTTGTTTGAATTTCTTTCTGGGTATCTCATGTCATTTAGTCATTAGTTCTACAGGATATGAAATCTCATTTTCTAATTTTTTTGTTTAATTCAAAGATAATAGTGCTGGGGACAAGAGTAGCTGTGGTGTCCAGCATGTGCCATTGTGGTCACATTGTGGAGTGCAGGCTTTGACCCTGGGGACAGGAGATACTATCCCATCAATCCACTCTCTGCCTTTGACCTCTGCCCTTGGAACCCAGCCTCCAGGGTAAAGGAGATCTTAAACCAGATGGGGAACTGTCTTTTGATGAAAGTATGTTCTACAAAGCATCCTCAGTTGTCATCCGGGATAGTTGGGTCGTTTATTGCTTCCTAAACTAGGCTAGCCTTGCTGTAAGAAAGGGTGCTTTGTATCAGAATGCAGAAGAAAATAAGTCACTCATCAGACATGAAATACTGAAGTGAAACTTGTTCAGCAAGTTGTGTGCCTGTATTTCTGTCACATAGCACAAGTACCCCCACTTTAAGCAGCTCTGTCTGTCTATGGAAAGAATGATGAAATCAGCAAGGGACTTGCAAAATCCCGGATATTTTCTGTTTCTAGTAAAATTGTATTGAGAATTCCTTTGAGGAGACTCCTGGCATGCATATGTCCAAAGGATATCAATTCCTTCATGTAACTGAGAACTTTTGTGGCCTGATTGTGCCAGGCACTGCCCAAGCTCAAAAAAATAAAAAAACAGCAACCAACAATAGACTTGTCTTATTTTATGTTTTTGAGATATGGACTATGTACGCCAAGCTGGCCTCAAACTCAAGATCCCCTCCTATCTCGCCTCCTAACTGCTGACCATCACACCTAGCCTACAAGAGAAGCTTGCTCTCTGCCTTACATCCTTGTAGAGGAGAGAGAACTCTGGGCAAGTTATCTTCAAACTTACTCAGTTCCTGCCTTAGTGTACCTAGGAGGCTTCCTAACTAGGCATTTAGACTTGTAACCTCCTTTAGCCACTCTTGGAGCAGAGAAGGGGTCTCAGTGGTACATACCCACAGCAGCTGTGGACTTGTCTCTACCCCCAGCCCATATAAGTGATAGCTCAGATTCCTGGAATGAGATCTATATTTGTGGGTAAGAGTCTCTTGGTATAGAAGACCCATAGCCCACAGAAGCCAGTGTCCCTTAAAATTGCCTGTGGAACACAGCACCCAGAGTTCCCACTGGGTCACCTGGTTCCAAAACTCAGCGTTCTAAAGAAACTCAAGCATGATGAGCCCACCAGGAGTTGATAGTTTCTCCAAGACCAGACGCAGTTTGCCAGTTGTGGCCAATTTGATGCTGAGCCACACTGCTGGCTTTTGCTTTTATTGTTTCCAGGAGGCAGCTGGAATTAAACTGAAGGTCAAATTTGAGCTCAAAGTGAAAGAATGTGTTGTATTTGCCCTTGCTTTCCATTTGCTTTTCTCCTAAGTGCTGCCAGAAGTGTAGTGCAGGGTGTGAAGGGTACATAATGGGGAAGCTCTAGACCACTGCCATGCAGCTGTTTACTCTGGAGCACACGTGAAGTGGCTGTACCTCAGCCAGGAGCAGAAGCTCAGAGCCATAATCCTAGCTACTCAGGAGGCTGAGATCTGAAGATCTCAGTTCAAAGCCAGTCCAGGCAGATCCACAAGACTCTTTATCTCCAATTAACCACAAAAAATCCAGAAGTAGAATTATGGCTCCAATGGTAGAGCACCAGCATTGTGCAAAAGAGTTAAGGGACAGTGCCCAGGCCCCTAAGTTCAAGCCCCAATACATACACTCTCTGTCTCTGTCTGTCTGTCTGTCTGTATGTCTGTCTGTCTGTCTGTCTGTCTCTCTCTCTCTCTCACACACACACACACACACACACACACACACACACACACACACACACGGCTTTCATCTCAGTGTAACCTGCTGATAGCCTCTCCTTTATTTTCTAGGTCAGTCATGGCAAACCTTGGTTGCTGGCTGCTGGTTCTCTTTGTGGCCACATGGAGTGACCTTGGCCTCTGCAAGAAGCGGACGAAGCCTGGAGGAGGGTGGAACACTGGGGGGAGTCGATACCCAGGGCAAGGGAGCCCTGGAGGCAACCGATACCCACCTCAGGGTGGCGCTGGCTGGGGGCAGCCTCATGGTGGTGGCTGGGGGCAGCCTCACGGTGGTGGCTGGGGGCAGCCTCATGGTGGTGGCTGGGGGCAGCCCCATGGTGGTGGCTGGGGGCAGCCCCATGGTGGTGGCTGGGGGCAGGGTAGCTCCCACAATCAGTGGAACAAGCCCAGTAAGCCCAAAACCAATATGAAGCATATGGCTGGAGCAGCGGCGGCTGGGGCGGTTGTGGGTGGCCTGGGGGGTTACATGCTGGGCAGCGCCATGAGCAGGCCCCTTATTCACTTTGGCAATGACTACGAGGACCGCTACTACCGAGAGAACATGAACCGTTACCCCAGCCAAGTGTACTACAAGCCTGTGGATCAGTACAGCAACCAGAACAACTTCGTGCATGACTGCGTCAACATCACGGTCAAGCAGCACACAGTGACCACCACCACCAAAGGAGAGAACTTCACCGAGACCGACGTGAAGATCATGGAGCGGATGGTAGAGCAGATGTGCATCACCCAGTACCAGAAGGAGGCCCAGGCCTCCTACTACGAGCCTAGATCTGCAGCTGTGTTCTTCTCCTCCCCACCTGTGATCCTCCTCATCTCCTTCCTCATCTTCCTGATAGTGGGATGAGGAGTTCTTCCTGTATGCAGCACCCAGTCCATCAAGCTCAAAGTCGGGGAGGGGGGGGGATCTGCCTGCAACCCCATTAGTGGTGGCGTCTCATTCTTGCTTCTCTCTTTGTCCCCCATAGGCACTGGGAAGTGTAGGGTAGATCCAGATGCTCGTTCTTAAGGTGGGTTGAGGCCTTCTTGGCCCCATGCTAATGCCTGGCCAGGAAGAATGGAGCAGCAAATAATCACTAGTTTGTCTAGGCTTATTTTTGGTCTAGCAACTTCAAAACAGTCCTCAAAAATTATGTCTGAGCTCTTCTGTCTTCTCCAGCATCCCAGACCCAGGGCATGAATGCCTGGGCTTAGTACTGATTGTGCAACAATGTAGAGAAGTTTTTGTTTGGTCATCCCTTTTAAGAAAACCTGGCAGCATCTCTGCCAAATTTGGATAGAGGCCGTACGATACTCGTTTATTTATTTTTTTTAAATGCTGCAAATGCTTAGCTCTCCAGCCACAGGCTCAGCCCGCTGGAGCACATGCTTGGAGATCTGGGGGCAGGGGGAAAGGGGGATTGCATATTGCCTTTTGTCATTCCAGGGTAAATATCTAAATCGGGTGCAACCCCTGCCCTCCCTCCAGCCAGAGAACATTGTCATGGGGTATGTAGACTGTTTGCAGCATGAGGCTCTAAGCCTCTGAGAACAGCACCCCTCAACACAGTCTCCATAGTGGGTATCCTTTCCTTAGTAACGTAAGTGATAGATAACTAAGGCATCAAAAGAGAAAGAAAAGGAATTATCTATCATCTGCTCAACACTGAAGGAAAATCTTTATTCATTTTCTGGAAACTGGGATGCTTTTCACCATGTTTAGATGGAAGCAGATATTAACACAAAGGAAAGCCAAAATTGTGAAGGCAGAATGTTTCTAGACGGTGTGATAAAGCTGATAGGAAGTGCTTGTGTCTTCCTTCGGCCTTGTGGCTGTCAAAAACCAGAATTCCACCACATCCTTGATTTCTACAATTGGTATTGAGTCAAAGTACAAGGAAATTAATCTTCCAAAAAGTAAAGAATAAAAACCTTAAGTTTCACTCGACAGAAATACAATCCACTTCAAGTAGAAAAGGAAATTCTGTTAATGTCATCGAACTAAGGTAAAGTTACTCCCTAAATTACTCAATGTTGTCACTTAGTGGATATGTGTTACTTTTGGCGATGTTATTGGCTTGCCCTGTTGTGGATATTCTATGTAAAATATATATAAAAGCTATATTGCATATGATGGACTTAGAAGTCTTGTTTAGAGCAGTTAACATCTGCAATGTCAAACACATTAATCGTTTGGTTAGGTACTAAATACTCAATATGTGGGGATCGTATTGCGTGGCCCTTAGGCTTACAACTTGCACTGAATAGTTTTGTATAAAAATCCAAAGTGAACGCCTTCACTGGTCTTTGCAATGTGCATGTACTTTATATTTTCTATATTTGTAACTTCGCATGTACTTATTTTGTTGTATAAAAAATTTATAAATGTTTACTATCTGACTGGATTAAACAAGCTAAGATGAGTACCACCCTGGTGTTGTCAGCACGTTTCCTCTGAGTCACTGGTTCTGGCCTGAGCCCCGGGTAATGGCTGATCTCATGTTCTTGCCCTTGATCCCACCCCCCCCCACCCCATCACTTCCTGTCACAAGCTGATTGTTTGCAATGCAGTCTCACTTTTTCTGCTAGAGTCTGTGTGCCCTGAATGAACTGGAGACATCCCTGAGGAGGAGGCCAGAGGAATGTGGTCCTCCTACTCTGGGGACATGTTTGTGTCCTGGATTTCGAAAAGAATTCTGTGTATGTATGTGGTGGTGAGGATTAAACCCAGGTCCTTGGCATGCTAGGAAAATATTCTGCCATTGAACTGTGTACCCCTGCCCCCTGAAAATAGATTTTCTTGATTAAAATTTCACAAACTGAAGTACTACTCATGGTATATCTGCCATAATTCAGGCTCTAAAATACTCCTAGTTCCTCTGAAACCTGGTGACAATCACTGTTTAGATTCAACAACTTTGAATCAAAAGGCCGCTTCCATCTGTCATGATCTTTCCATTCGTTCACTGCCTTCCTGAGATGCTCTGTAGTGATCTCTGCCACAGGTTTTCAGCAAGGAAGGTGTGGTCTTCACAAGGTTGGATAGTGATGGAAACCACAGCCTGAGAACCTTGGCAATACCTGCGTTGTAAATGCACCTCCCTCTGTGAGTCTTTAAAGATGATTCCAACATTCTAAGGGAGGAGGCTGAGGAGACTAAAGGGCTTAGACACAGGTCCTAGAGGGAGGCTTGGCCTACCACACAGGAGGCCTAACAGGAGGAGCTAAGAGACTGAGAAAGCCAAGGGCCAGTTTTACTGGGGGTCAAGGTAGAGTACACAAAGGAGTCTTAGGTGGGGGTCATGGGTGTATTGCTATGCCAAAGTCAGAGAAGAATAAGAAGGGCAAGTTTGAAGGAACCAACCTTATCACCCTGGGGCACTTGTTACGTGGGGTGGGGTGATGATGTGGTATAAGAATGTTGAAGCATCAGGAAAGTAAGTTTTGAAAATGTCAAAGGCAATGCTAATATCCTATGATCCAAAGAAGAACTTCCTATTAAAGATAGAAAGGTAAGTCAACACCTTGACAGCTCTACCATTCACAAAGCTGATGAATCACAATGACATGCAAATCTAAAAGGCATTACTCAGTGATAGACCTCAGGAGGTGCTGGTGTGGCTCAACTAGTAGCCAGAGAACAAAAATGCAAGGGTCTGAGACCTGAGTTCAAGCCCCACTACTAGCACAGATAGACCTCAAAGTTCAAAGTTGACCTTTACCAAAAATTCCTAGAATATTACCTTTTTTTTTTTTTTTGCTATCTGTACAGTTACTTGGAAATAAACTCTGATTTTGATAATCACAACTTTTCAAAATTGGCCCACTGAGAAGATAATAAAGTCATTAAAAACAGTCTGAACAACTGTAATTAATGACAATAATAATAATAACAATAGTAAAACATTGCTATTAGTAAGACCAGAGTAAATAGTATTGATCTGTAGCTTTCTCTCACCCCTAGTTTTTCCTCATTTCAACCCAAGTCTAGTGAGTTGTATAAAGATAATTTTTACTTTAAAAAGGTAAACAGATCTGGAGGCATGGCTCAAGTCGTAGCATGCCTGCCTAGCAAGTGCCAAGACCCTGAGTTCAAACCCAAGTACTGTAAGTTCCACCCCAGGAGTGTGGACTTGTATCACCTCCTTAATCCAGACCCCAAGTTTCTCACTGACTGGACCAAGCTTTCAGTAATTCATTTCCACCTAGGAAAGATGTCCTCCTTTGTGGGTCCCTGGAACTCAGTCCCTTCAGCACTAGTCTCTACATCCCACCCCCCAACTCCCACCCATTCCCGTGAGCCCTCCCCTGGGCTCCAGAAGCCATACCTGGTCCAAGGGCCTGTGTAGAAATGGCTCTCTCTTCTGGACCTACAGAGCTCCTTGAACTTGAATGTGTATGTGCGCCTATTGGGCCTGACCCTTAAGTCTTCTCCTGGGCTCCTCCATGATGCCATGTTGGACCCATAAACCACCCTGTAAAAAGGCTCTGTGAGGTTTCCACATGGAACTCCTATTGAAACCCCCTGGGAGCTTACTGAGCACAAAAGGCTGGGCCCTGCCTCTCTAAGCTTTGGGGTGGGACCTAGGAGTTTGCATTTCTAACAAATTCCCAACTACTGCTGCCGGTGATGGTGCTGTGATCATAGTACAGGAAAATCCACTGCTCTACAGGAACATAAAGAGACATAGGAGGCTGCCCAGTCTTGAAATTCAAAGCCTTTGTGGAGACCAAAAGCCTGCCTGGGAAACAATGCTGGTCCTAAAAGTTGGAGGGAAGGGTAGATGACAACAAGAGTGTGCAAAAGAGGGGGGGGGGGTAAAAATCAGTATCTAGTCCCTCATTAGCATGTGCCATCCTGACTCCAGGGCCTTCAAGGATCCTGAATGTCGACTTTCTCAGACCTAAATGTCATTGTTGTGAGTGGGCCATATGTCCTCTCTGTGGCCAACCCTTGGTATCACAATGATCACCAGTTTAGGAAGGTGACATCCAGAGACATTCATTCTGTAACTCAAGTATACAGTTAATATTCACCCACAAAATAATGCACTATGGAAGTGTGTCCTGAGTTTGTGGTGAGTTTGGCATAGAAGTCATTCCATCTGGGGCTGGGAAGGTGGCTCAGTGGTAGAGTGCCTACCTTTCATGCATGAGGTGCTGGGTTCCATTCCTCAGCACCACCTAAGCAGAAAAAGCCGGAAGTGGCGCTGTAGCTCCTGTGGTAGAGTGCTCGCCTTGAGCTGAAGAGCTGAGGGACAGCGCCCAGGCCTAGAGTTCAGGCCCCACAATCAGCAAAAAAAAAAGGTCACATATGGAACTGTGGTAGAGTGCTAGCAAGAAACTCAGGGACAGTTCCCAGGCCCTGAGTTCAAGCCCCAAATCAGCACACACACACACACACACTCAATCTCCAAATGCATTTTGGGGTATGGGGGGGCAGTTATGATTTCAACATGAATTTTGTGGGAATACGATTCAGCTCATGATACCACCTTCCCAGAAACATCCTAGGTATGTATATGAGTTCCTCCCAACCCAATTCTATGTTAGTACCAGGACCACAAGGGGCCCGTGTTCACACAACTCTCTGGGCCTCTCATAATAAAGATCCCACTGCCTGGGTCACTTTGTCACTTGCACAGGCAGTGATCTGCCTGTGATTTTCAAGGGCGCCTCCCTCCAAGCACCCATGCAGAGTAGATAGAAATACCTCCCAGCCCCCATGCCCTCATTCTAGCACCACGCATATTTTCATGATAACCAAATCTGTTTAGTTTGGCTGAAGTCCATGAGGACCCAACCACTAAGGCAGGTAAAGTGTCTCCTTTACACACATCTGGCGGGGAGCTCTGCTGATTGAGTTAATTAAACTGCAGCAGTGAGTGGGAGCTAGGGAAATAGGGAAGGCTGGTTATTGAGGCCTCTGCCTTCAGGCCCTAGACACACCCAGTGCATTCAGCCAGCCATCTACCCGTGGCATGCAATCGTTCAGGTTTCTTGAGAGCTGAAGCTCACTTTCCTTAGACCCCCACTATAATGCTTAGTTCGAGTCCTACCGAGAGGGTCTTTTCACACTCCAGGTACTCCCAGCCAAGTGCTGGTTGGCCTGGCTCAGCCACTGAAGAGCCCAGTGAGAAGAGAGTCCACCATTTCTTTCTTCAGCCAACATCTTATTTCTGTTTTTCTCTGGATGTCTCTGACTCTCCTCCAGCTCTTCCAGAAAACATTTCTCACCAGTCTAAAGACCCTTTCTCTGTATCACTGCCTAGGAGGCAAACGACACTGACACATGATGCTATTCCCAAAGCATCACTCAGAACATGGGTAGGTGGGCCACCTCAGTCCAGGAGGAGGGTTTCGGGCTTCTATTCAGGGCCATGAGGCAGAGGTAATGTTACAAAAGACATCTTTAATCTTTGATGAATAAAGAAAGATATTAAGCTCTAATTCCCTCAAGAAATCTATGAGAGGCCATTCTCAACTTCAGAAATGTTTTTGAGCTCAGACTTCCTGCTTATGACTCATGATCTTCCTGCCTCTATCTCTGGTGTGCTGGGATTACAGGTGTGCTCTACCATGCCTGGTCTTCAGTGTGAGAATTTTAAGAGCATGATTTGTTGCTCTAATTCATGAAAGGCCCATTGTGATTGTGCCAGTCCCTAGAGGCTGCCAGGAAACCAATGCTACAAATGAATTTAAGACCAGTTATTTGTTCTGTCCAGCCAAGTTACAGGAAATGGCTGCAGAAAGCTGCCATCTTGCTTTTCTCACGATTGCTCTAGAGTTATTGGACAACATAAACATTGTTTCATTAGGCACCTCTAGTTTGTAATAGCAAAAGCACAATATAGAATAAAGGAGCATATGTGGTACAACTTTCCTTATAAAACTTTGTGAGTCTTCTAATCCTGTTCAGCAATAAAAAGGAATGAAGTCCTATCGTATGCTACATTACGGATGAACCTAATAATATGAAGCTAAACGGAAGAAGTCAATTACAAAGGACCAGGTACTGCATGATTCATTTATATGAAATGGCCAGAATAGGCAGATGTGTGGGATAGCAAGTTGATTAATGATTGCCAGGGCTGGGAGAGAGGTGGGGGAATGGGAAGTGGCTATAAATGGAGGGAGAGGGGGTGTTCTCTGTCTAGTATTATAAAGATGTTGTGAGAATCAGACATTAGCAATCAATGGCAAATTCTGTGAGCTGTGTGAAAGATCACTGGGCAACAAATTGGGATGGTGAAGCTATCATATGAATCATGTTGAAGCAAGGAATCTGTTGTTTTTTCCTGAAGCATGATAGTAGAGAGAGTAAGAGGGGAGACAGGTTGGCATCTGTTGAGAGTGAAGCTGTTATGAGAATGTTTCTGCCTACTTGTCCCCATCTCCTCACCCCCTCTACCCCTACCAGGTCTTCCAA